GAAGCCCTCTATTAAATGAGTGTTAGAGGTTTGAACCGTAATTTTCACCTCAAATTAAAAATTTTTAATTAGTGGTTACAAACAATAGTGGTTATGTCATCTAAATTTTTGTTAAAACTACATAATTTTACTAATATTTTATCAATTTATAACATTTTTCTTGAACAATTAGTTATAATGTCTAAAAACATTTGTTTATAAACTAATTTGAATAAGTTAAGTAACACATATCAAATTTTTTTATCAATTAACAACTATTTCTAATAAAATTATGTAACCTTAACAAAATATGGATGGCAACAACTGCAACAATTACAAACTCATTTAAATTTTTATTGGTAGTTAAATATTGAGCTAAATTAAATAAAAAAATATTATGCAATCTAAATTATACTAAATTATTCTAAATTATATTAAATAATACTAATTATTAAATAAGATTTAAACTTATGCTCTTAAGAATTACTTTCCATCTAATAATTTCTATTTGTGTATCCGTAGGGTAATATATGCTTCCAAGCTCAATACTCGAGTGGCAACTTTCTATTGGTCCACTAGACTAAATTCAAGACAATTAAACTAAGACAAAGAATACATCATATCTAGACCACAAACATGTTTTCAATTTTTCATATTCTCCCATTCCAATTAAGCAACATCAGATCATTGATTTCCATGCAACCCTCAGTGGAAATCACCCCCGATGAGTGTGCTTCGAATCTCAGGATCGTCATTCCCCGTCCCTATGAACGAATACGAAAATATTAGTGTACTAATTAATTTCGAAAAAAAAAAGAAAAAAAAAAGGCAGTGCCAGAACATCTTTATACAGTTTCCTCATTCCAGACAACATACTAACAAAGATTTTGCATATTTGGCTAGAGGTGAATTTTATAGGGAAAGTTAAGTACGATTGCAATTTCAACAATATTAACTGTGTTACATTATACTTAACTTGATAGAAGAATAAAAAAACGCTAAGAAATTAAAGTTTAGAGACAAAAAAATAGATTGATTAAGTCAAGGTCCAAAACAAACTCTATGTAAAAATTGAGAGACCAAATAATAAGTTTAAGCTTTACTACTTTTATAATTTGGAAGTCTACTCTTTATAATTCTTTTGATTTGAGGAAAATAATAGGGATAAATGATATTTGAACTTTCAAACACTTAAGAGGGTGTCTGCTAGCTCTTATAATGCTTCCTTAAATTTTGTATTTTAAATATTTTAAAT